AGCGAAAATATCGAAAACGTATTTTTAGATTATTGTTGTATTTCGGCTGAGATTAAAGTGATTTCATTTTCTTGTATCATAGACATAAGGTCGTCAGTCCTAAGACTGGTTGGACACGCACCTCCATTCTTTCTTATCTTGAGCTAATCTTAGCATTTCCCTAAAGCTAGAACGTCCCACATCCTTAAATATTTGCGAACAGTAATCTAAATCTAGGTCTAACTCTACTCCTCTTAACTTCTGTTTCTGCCTTTAATGTTTCTGACTCGACCTTCATGCTTGAGAAGGTGTCCTACCAAATTATCTCGCCTATTTCTTATTGACTTCCATACAGTCCTCTGTTCTCCTAATCTTTCTAATACCTCTTCATTTCTAGCCTTCTCTATCCACGGTATTCTCATCATTCGCCCGTAACACGACGTGTTGAGCGCTTCTAACCTTTTCTTTTTCGCCGCGCCCACTGTCCATGTTTTGCACCCGCACAGCGCCGTGCTCCAAACATGCAGCTATAACAACCTTTTTCGAATTTCTAAATTAATCGTTCGCGAGCACAGAAGTGACTTCTACCTGCACTACTCCTTCTGTCCTGACTTATCTGGCTTCCTAGATACCTTAAAGTGGCTGACTTTTTCTAATATTTTGTCTCCTATCTTTTTTTATTCGCTCATTCCCTACTTTTTCTTCCCTTGTATACCAGTATTTTTGTTTTGCTTTTATTTATTTTCATACAATACCGCTTCCATTTTATTTAAAGCTATCTCTAACTCCTCATTGCTAAATCCTAATCTGCAAATCTAATTGTAAGCATACTAATCTTTTGCCCCTTTATTATCCATTCGTACACTTTAGAGTTACCAACTCGATATTTTAAATAGTGCAGAGATCGTTCGAATAAGTCTTAAGACTTCACTTTAATGGATACATAAATGTACAGAAAAAAGCTTATTCGTTTTGGATAGTTAAAAAATAATCAACTTATACATTATTTAATTATGCTATTAATTTAAATGCTTTAAATAATACAATCTCAAGTAGTACATACATTGTATGTGACATTCAATAAGAACAATGGCAATAAAGAAACAATAAAAGTTCGTTTTTCATAAATATTGAGAAAAAAGCAAATTATATTATATATAAGGGGGTACAGAGAAAATAATTTCTCTGGAGTCTTTGGACTCCAATTGAAAAATTGGTAACTCGTATTTTGAGAAATAGTTATTGAAATAGAAATTTCTAAAACAGCTTAATAGCACGTCTTCAAAATAAAAAAATATATGTAGTGCAGAACAAATTATGTTGCAACGTCTACAAACTAGCTGCATTCATTAATCTGAATATGGCAATTTAACCTTAAATTTCTGAATATACCATATACGTACTAAGCATCTTAATTTGTGAATAATGATGGAATACAATACCACGCCGATTAAAAACAAATTGATTGTAAATTTATGGGATTATTTTTTTTCAAATGCATGGAGTGTTTTTTACGTTCGAAATATTCAAATTATTGTTTCGAACTTTTTGTACAATTGTACCACATATATAACTCGAAGGACCATAGAAACGCCGAGTTGTAAATTTAACGAATTTATTGTACAATTTACAACTACGACCTATTCTAACTTATTATAAATTGAATTTTTATTGGTGTCTTATGAAAATAACTGATGTCTAGTTACTCTCAGCGAGTCTACAAAAGAACTATTCTATCAAACTTAAAATTTTGTACACTAGATTCCGAAATCGACAAATTATCCCTTCCAATAACGAGGTTATTGACAGTAATACCAATACACAATATACTAACCATGGGATAAATCCTCATTTGTGCTTCTGGTTTCGGAAATATTTAGTCCAATAACAATACACTAAAGGTATAATAAAATATGAAAATGTTTATGCCATAAAGTACCTGCGTCGGCATATCACAATAAGGTTCCTTAACATGGAGTATATTTATTAATTTGTAAAGGCCAATCACAATCAAGATCAATATCAAGTGAAAGATATTGTTTCCAAGGAGGAAATACAATAGTGGCAAACAAAAAATATGATAGAGTTTACGGACAAGATATTTGTAAAAATTAATATTAATACCTGTTGGAGCGCAATTCATGATGCATCGTTTGAATATTGAAAAACCAATTTTGTTATTCGCAGCTTAAACTTATAAATACGTGCCTGCAACAAGGGAACTTTATTATCATATTATGTAGGTTTTTCCTAGGCAGGTATCGTTCCTTCGCGCTGGTCATCAGATGGGTCGATGATCTTCCCATCCATAAACAATTTTGTGATTGTAGTCACGTAGGCACTAACCATAGCTTAAGGTCAAAAACACCCCACTAACATACCTCCACCCCCTATATTTTGTTGTTCTATTTAAGCATCTTTTCTATGTAATAACCTCATTACGTTCAAGCATTAAGTTCAA